AGTCATCATTACCTGCTAAGCAATCACTAGAACTTGTTTCAATTTAATTCACGATCGCATGCTATATTTATATGATATTTGATCCGAGAGGTTACTGAAATCACAATACTGAAATTAAACAAAGCACAAGCCGACTATTATTAACAGTTGCAGCGACTACAAGTAAGTTGCAGACCACACTTGCGGGACATTAACTCATCTTCAAAGTTGATTTTAACTGTTTTAATTTAGTGGCAATTAATAGTTGCGAGCGGTAGTTGCGATGATCTCTGATTTGTGATCTCAACGATTCAAACAGCTGCCTATGATAAATCATAAGACACACGTGTTTCCATTAAAACATTCAGGTGCCGTACAGTTGTTGGTTATCCGTGAGAATCAGAGACGGTATTTGAATCTAAGCTGCGCATTCGCATGCAAATTAGATTTTTTAATTGGCGCATAAAAGGCGGCGACAACGTGAGAGCCGCTAGTCGCTGGATGGGGAATCGGTACCCAGTACGAGGTACCCGGTACCCGGTACCCGGGTTCAGTGCAGGGAGCTTGTATCATCATGCAGTTGACCCCCAGGCTGAGCATTGCGTGAAAAGCGGCAATGGCAAAAAGTCTTGGCGAGCTGTTGGCGTCATCGAGGTGCTACAATGCCATTTGCTTTTATGGTTATTGCACTTGGTTGCCGCAGTTGCATCAATGCAAATCAATGCGCCAAATTGTGGTTAACATTGGCGCAATGTTGGCGTTTTTAATTGACAATTCTGTGGCGGCCTCCTAGCCAAAGTTTCACAATTTCTTGGGCAGGCGTCGCGACGCAGTTGCCGTTTCCCCCCCGCCGTGTGAGCAGCGCTGATGCCCTGGAGGATAGACGACGCCGTCGTCGAAAGAATGAGCATCATTAAAATGAAGGAAAAAGGAGCAGCATGATATGCGCAGCGGTACTCAGGTAAAGCTGATCAGGGGTGGCTTTAGGATGGGCCGGGGCTGGGATGGGTTGGGTTGGGCTGGGTTTGCCTGCGGCTCGGAATCTGCTCCTTGACAGGAGGGCCGCGGGCGGCTTTCTTTTGTTTGGGCAAAGTTCGAAAGACGTTAACTGAGATTCCAAAGATTATTGTTTCCCGCCAAAAGTTAGGGGGTTGCACGACACGGCGATCGGTGGTGGTGGGCAATGCTCGGGTGGTGGTGGTGGTGGTGGCGTGCCAACAACAACAATGCTCAAGCGGAGAGGGTGATGACTTGCCCAACCGTGGGAAGATTTCCAACACAAAAAGCAATTGCACAAATGATTGTAAAGGCATTTTCTGTTGGGTTTCAAGTAAATTTTATTGCAGCTGCGCCAAAAAAAAAAATGCAAAAAACAAAATTCGGAACAGGGACCACTTTCAGTCCCTGACATATTCTGATAAACTGCTGTTTTTCGTTAGTATCGTAGGCAATTACGACATTAAAATGTACTTAAATCAATCAGAAATTTGCATAAGACAAGCAGCTCAACCGACAACTTCATCAGCGACAACAAATCAGCGACGCGCCAACAACGCCAACGCCAACGAAATGTTTGTTTTTGTGTTGGTTGATTGGTTAGCTGCTTCCAGACCGACGGAGGCGTTAAATACGAATCGCATCGGTATCTGTTTCTGTATCTGTATCTGTATTTGTATTTGTATTATTTTTGCTCTTGCTGTTGCGAATTGGCTGCCAATTGCTGCCACCTTCGCGTCAGCCAACTGGGCCTACACCATTTTGGTTTTATTTGCTCGTGGCCTCGTCATCGTCATCGTCAATATTGTCGTTGTCGCTGTCGTTGTCGTCTCATTTCAATAACTTATTGTTGTAGTTGTTTCACACCAATCAACTAACACTAGTCACACATACACGCTCAAACACACACACACACACACTCATACACACACACAGACCTATGTCTATCAGCATAGCTACACCTACAAACGGGCTGCTGCTACTGCGGTTGTTGTTGTTGCTGCTGCTGCCCGCAAGCAACACGAAAAATTTTTGTACGAATCGCGTAAACGCGTTTTTGCGTTTCGTTTATTTTCCCTGCCCACAATTCACATAAGCAAGCAAAAAGTGCATTAGTATTGCTAGTGAGTGTGTGTTTGTGTGAGTGAGCGCTATTGTATTGGTGTGCTACTATTCGTTCATTCACAAAACGTGCCCAGTGGCCCTATGTGTGTGTATGCTGTGTCTGTGTGTGTATGAGTGCTTGGCATGCTTTTGGCTCGTCTCTCTTTCATTTTGGTCTTTGTTTTGTAAACACACACCGCACACACACACTCACACAAATGCCATACACAGGCAGAGAGCGTCGGCAGCTGCGTCGCACAAGCACACTTACAACTACTGAGAGACTGCGCTCTCTCAGCTCTCAGTGACTACTCTCTGCTCGGCTGCATCGGCATTTCAAGTTCAGGCGCTCGACGCTGTCGTTGAAGTTGCTTGCCGGCATTTGCAGTGTGTTGTGTGTGTGAGAGAGAGAAGTTTGGTGGCCTGCGTGTGTGTGTGTGTGTGTGTGAGATAGAGAGGCGAGTACTGTGAGAGATTCTTGTTTTGAGAGAGTATTTGATTTTTATCCGAACACAATTTATCCGGCCATGTGTTAGGATTTTGAGAAAACAATATTTTTGATGGAAACTATGTTTTTCACAAGTAAATCATTTTTCATAATGTAAATATTTTTGTTGGTTTCCTTTTGAATAATTAATAGTTAATAATTTTTAAATGTGATAAATGTTGATATTGTTGACAACGCAAACAAAGTTTATTAAATACTTAATACATCTATTGTCTACTATTAAAAAAGTAATAAAAAGATAGAAAATCATTAGCTTCAAATCTCAACCATTTTGGCATACCAAATCGTAAAATTTTTTTACTTTTAACAAGCTTAAGTCAACAACATAAATCTAGGCTTGTTGAATTTATAAATTTATTTGTATATTAGATTTATGTATATTCTTATTATATAAATGTACTTAAATATTATATTTACAGATATGCACTAATTGAATAAAAATCGTTATAAATTGCGCAACTGTTTTAAAGTGCAGCTGGTAAACCAGTAAAAATATATCATTATGCTTATTACTAATTTAGTTTTTACACCCCCATCCCGTCTAGTCAATCTCGATAGGCTGTGCCCCTAAACCAATCCAGCTGCAACTGCTTTCAACGCTCCAAAACAGCGGAGCAGCAACAACAATGGAAAAGTGGGAGGCGCCTATTCGGAGCTCGCTTTTGCAAAAGCGAAAATGCAACGAACTCTCCTCATTGGTATAAAGTTTGAGCAATTAGAAACCCACGCAGCCATAAACAACAACTACAACTAGTGTGTGGGGGCAACAGCAACAGCAGCTGCCCCAACAACAGTAACATCCGCAGCAGCAGCAGCAGCTCGGCAGTTGCAGTTGCCACTAACGCCAACAACAGCAACAACATCAGCTGACAGTCGCGAAGTGGAGAGATAAAAATGCAAAAACAACTGCGACAAAAATCAGCAGGCAGCTTTTATGTTGTTTTTTGCACGTGCTGCGGTCTCACGCTCTCCCACTGCCTCTCTCTCTCTCTCTCGCTCTTGCTCTCCCTCTCTCTCTCTCTATCTCTGCCGCTCTGAGTCGACTTTATCCGGCGAATGAGACGCCAACACACACACACTAACACATGCTAGCTGCTGCGTTGGTGTTGCTGCTGCTGCTGTTGCTGCCGTGTGCTTGTGTTGGTGTGGCGTCGGCAGCAGCTGCGTCGCCAGCCTATTCTACTTAGAAAGGTCGCTGGCTGCGCCAGTGTCTTGCTGGGCAGTGTCGGTTCAGGTTCAACGTCAGAGCCCCGCACGCGTTCGCCGCCGTCGCCAAAAAAAATCCGAAATATCGCAGAAGTTGATCAGTTATAAGCCGAGTCCCCAAGCCAAGTCAAGCTACAAAAAATCTTGCTGTTTACATTATTCGGTTGGCCAAAAATTGTGTGTGCAATTGCAATTGCTCTGGTGCCGCCACCACCCTCCTCTCTCTCACACACACACACGCTCACTCTCTCTCTCTCTCTCGCACACACACACTGGTTGTGTACGTGTTGGTGGTGCAGCCGAAGGCAGCGAAGACGACGACGACGACGATGCCGACGACGCTGACGACGACGACGACGACGCGACGACGGGAAAATCTCTTTGCGTTGCAGTGAAAATTTTTTCGTACGTTTTCGTTATTTGTTATTTGCACGTTGACGCGGCGACAACAAGAAACGGTACACGGGTACGAAGTGTATAACGAACGCGCGTGCAACAACAGCAGCAACAACAGCAACAACAATAACGGCAACAAACAACTAACAACAACCTTTTAAACGTTAACACGCGTCAGTTATTAAAAACAAACAAAAAACCAAATCGCATATTTATTGATATTCAAAACGCTTTACGCACGTCGCATTTTAACGATTAACGATAAATTTTTTTAGTCACCCAACTTGCTAAAACTCAACTCTCAACTCTTAATTGTACCTAGCTGCGATTCACAACAACAACAACAACCACAACAACAACAATTTTTAAGCTAATCAATTTTTGCTCTCTCACTAAACTAAACTTGCCAAATTTTTTAATACAATTAACAACATCAAAAGTTTTATACAAGCAATTTAAAAAGAAAAGAAAAATTAAATTAAAAGAAATTTTTTAATAATAATAATAATAAGTGCATAAGGTCGCAATTGAAGTGTCTTAAAAGAAATAAAAATTAAAGAAAATATATACATGCAGTGAATAAAACGCAAAGCTTGCCAAGTTTGAATTATAAATATTAACAATAAAAAATATAAAACATAATTGCAATTGTTGAAAACACAACACGCGAACATCGCATAAGCAAAAGTTTGTGATATTTTTATGATATTAGCAATTAAAGTATACAACAACAAAACAAAGTAATTAAGAAATAAATACACATATTAAAAAAATAATTTTAAATGTGTGGTGCTCAAAAACAACAACTACAACTACAAAAAAACAAGAACACCAACAACAACATCAAGAATTGCGGGCAGCTGCCATTTATCGGATAATGCTTGGATAATGCTTTTCAAAGCGCCCTAAACAATCGAGGTGAGTTTCATACTTATAAATGAGCTCTTTTATTTTGAGTTCAATTTTCTTTTTAAAGTCTTTTTTTTTTGTTTTGTTGTTGTTTGTTTTTTGCCGACGGCAACGTCTTTTAGGCTCAGGCGCCAGCAGTCGCCAATTGGTTGTCGCTGGTTGCCTCAGCAGAAAGTTTTTTGAAATGTGTCAAAAAGTTATAGATCTAATTACATAGCAAGTTGTGCTTGTTGTTTTCATTATTGCTGTTGTTGTAGACTCAGCTTACAGCCAAATTGCAACTGCAAACTGCTGATAATCAGCGCAATATCAGATAGCTCCAGGCCAGTTGATATATACGACGCTACTTATCAGATATGCCCCGACGTGATCACCCATTAATGTTTAGAAACTAACTGAGTTAAATTGTGCGTTGTATAACATACACATAGCTCCTTGAGTGTGTTTTAAATGCTATAAGGCTTAGCTCGATCCCCTGTTGTATCGATAATGTAGCATTGCAACACCTACAACAATGCATTGGCCTCGCCTGACTCTGAGTCACTGATAAGTGCTACACTTATTGCTATCAATACCAGCCCCCATGATGAGGCGAACGCAGATGCTGTGCGACTGTTGTTGTTGTTGCTGTTGCCCCCGTTGATGCTTCTGCTTGTGATTTGGTTTGACGTCAATCGACAACAACAAATATTGCCAACGACAACGACACTGTGTGGCCAGCAAATTGACGCACAATAAAAGGCACACAAACACATCAACACACACACATCAATACGCGTAGATGCACAGCAGCAAACAAAATCAGGCATATTGCAGGCGTGCAACAGCAGCAGCAGCAGCAACAGCAGTGACAGCAGCAAGCCCTTCAATCTTGCACACGATTAATGCGAAAGACTTTTAATTGCCATCAAATGCCATAATAAAGCACACAGCAGCCACTGTGTGAATGTGAACTATGCCAATTGCCTACACCTTGGGCATAAAAATGGCCAACGGCCTGTGTATGCTCCGTACGAAACTGACAAATTTGTATGCACGCGCTTCAAAAGTGCAATATTAATTAATTCCAACAACAACTGGAAGCTGCAACAGTAACAGCAACTGCAACTGCTGCTCTGTATGCGGCTGGAGTTGCTGCTTAGACCGGGCAATTAAATTGTATGTCATTCATTGGTAATTTATACCATTTAAAGGCAAACAGCAGCAGCAGCAGCAGCAATAACAACTCTCTCGCTAGGATGTGGTGTGAGTGACTCCTGTTGCTGCAGTTGTTGCTCTTCCTGCGACTGGACTCTTTTTAGGCAGCAAATCATCACACCTGGCAATTAGCATGCGTGCGTGCTACAGCTCGTATGAGTAATGGTCAAAATGTTCTAATATAAATATATATATTGTGTTTCTGGTGGCTAAACCGTTGATCGATCGCTCGTTTGAGCTGATCGCTCGATAAATGCAACTTGCCATGAAAAGTGCAAGCCTTAAATGGGCATTAAGCTATTGCACATTTCTCAATATGTCGCGCGAGTGTACCAAGTGATTTTTTCTCTGTTTTCAACTCGATGTCGATGTCTGACTTTATACGCACCGCACCTTATAAGACAATGACGACGTCTGCCGGACAGTCGGACCGACTCTGCGACTGTTTGGCATATTAAGCAGGCTGACGAGCAGGAGTGATGAGGAGAGTGCGGTGGCGGTGCGACGTCACCCGCACCACAAGCGACGCCATTTTAAAGTGGCTCAAAGTCGCTAGTTGGAGTCACCAGCGAAGCCGTCTCCAATTCTTTGCCACCCTCGGTGCGTTTCATTGGCATTTGTTGCATTTACATTTTAAACAAAAGACAAGTCGAGCGTGTCCATTTGCGAGATACTCCGTACAAAGAATTTTCCCTTATATAAGACACAAATTTGGCAGCATCGGTAAATATTATTATTTAGTTATGTTGCGCTTAATTTACCTTGTTGATTAGCGACTGGTGGGAGTGCCTAATATTTACATATTACATTAAATTCATGTCAACATCATTTTTAGCTAGATCTTATTTCTCGATTCTATCGTCCCAACTCATGCATTCATTACAAACTATTAGGGTATGGAAAAGTATTGAAGCGTCTGGGACTTTTTTTTTGTGTCGGTTCATTGGTTAATTTATTTCACGCATAGCCTTAAATTAACAATTTTAATGTCTTGAAATAAGAAGAAAAAAAGATATATATATTTATATATACATATTAAGCAAATAAGAATAACAAAAGCGCGCATTGAAATTGAGACGTCGAGCAGAATAAAATGTACACAATACAAAATGAAAATGCTTAAATATATAAAATAAATTTACGAACGAAACAAAGGCGTGTAACAGAACACATACCAATAAACAATAGCAACAACAATAACAACAACAAAAAGGAAATCAACAATGTGTCGTAACGAAACGTAGCGAATACAAAAAATAAACCAAGGAACTTGAGAATGTGTAAGTTGGAATAAAATTCTGGGGCGTTAATTAACTTTAAACGATTGAAAACGAATTGATTTGGAGAAGCCATTTGATTTGGATTAGTTGTGCTTGCTTTGCTTGGGGTTCAAGAGTCGAGTTGGAGACCTTAAAGCATACAATGATCCGCCATATAAAGACTAAAATTAAAATTTAATCATCACGTGTGCGTTAAAAAGCGGGACAGACACTGCTCTGAGGCGATCCATGGCAATGTCTATAACTAAAGTTGTTAATTAGAATGCGTTAAACAATAAAACAAAGAAAATCCAATGAGCGAATGTGGAGAATGCACAGACTGACCGACGTTGCGACAGTTGCGAAGAGTTTAACACCTCGCAGGCGGCAGACATTTGATAGAGCTCAACACGAATTCGATTTTGAGTTGAAGTTGGCGTTTGGGGATTCGGATCAGTGGGCTCTGGCCCGACTTTTGGGCATGCGTTGTTATCATGCATTTGATAAACGTTTTGTTTTTCATTAGTGTGTGGCCTGGAAGCAACTTTAAGTCATTGTCAGCCAGCCAAATCTTAAACTTGGATTGATTCAGATCACACCCCTTCAATTAGCAGCTATCGGTAAATTCCATTGAATCTTTTTAAATTATAAGCGTCCTATTAAAACGCGTTTCATCGTGATGTTACTACATATTTTTGGCGGCCATTTTCTGGGATGAACATAAATATTTATTTTTAATATTTTTATGGGTTATTATTTATTTTATTTTTATTTTTGTTTTTTTAATATATTTTTTTTTTGTTTTGTGGTAAGCATTAAACACTACTGCAAGTGTATTCCGGTGGTTAGTTGTTTGTTGTTGTTTTTGTTAGCTGTTGATAAGCAAAATGTGCGCCTTACTACGTCAAAAGCGTCGAGCATTATCAGAATTGTCATATACATATATTCGAGTATATATAGCAGATTATTTAATATGCATGGGCTGTTTTCTTTTTCTTAATGGGAAACCACACATTGAAAAAATTTATAAAAATTAAATAAAGCCTTGCTGATAATCATATATGTATATTGCAGAGAATTATGGGTGAGACTTACGAAAAAATTTCACATGAGTTTACTTATAGCAAAACGTGCCACATATTGGGCACCTCCAGCCTGTAAAGTACTTCAGTAGCAGCAGCGCTGCAGCGAAAACAATTTTTTATTTAATCTCAAGTAGTTTCAATTAACGTCATTGGACTACATAGATTGCTGATTATGCGTCGCGTTTCGTGAGCGCTTTGAATTAACATTAAAAACAAATATTTAAAAATATATATAAAGGAAATATATAAAAAAAATAATGAAGAATTTTATTAAAAGATTATGAGATTGTGGCCACCCACCGAATAAAGCAACAATAGCAAATTGAATGAAACTTTTTGCAAAATAATAGAAACGAAAAGGTGAAGCAAGAAATACTCGCACATGGTCAGCTTTATCAGTTTGTAGACCACGACTTTCAATTTACGTCACAGCGCCGAGCAATTCATTAATTTTACAATTTATACTTAATAAATATTTTTTTCGATTTGCCTTTGGTTTTTGTTGTTGCCCCACCGTTTTGTGTGTAGGTGCTCTTTGATAAGCAAGTGATAAGTGAGCCATTCGTTTGACTGGTGGGTGGTTGATTGTTAGACTGCTTTGATGGAGCACACGGTTCAGTTGGCCACGCGAATTGAAAAGTTTACAAGTGGCTTGTAAACTGCACGTGGCGCATAAGCATTGCATAAAGCCCATAACTGACTCATAATCTCCATGTGGCAAGCACCAAGGTGACAAGCAGAAAGCAATAAGCGGCAAGCCGTAAGCGGCAAACTGCGCTTCATTAGGAAAACATTCAAACCTGTTGCTCACACGCAACTGGCCGCAATGGTCACCCAGTTGGTCACTCGGCTGGTCACTCAGTTTATCTTTCAGTCCAACTGTCCATTTGTCGCTTAGCACATGCAACTGTCTGCACTTAGCGCTCGCTGTCGCCAATTTGAATGTTGTACCCATCTCCCTTCTGCCCCCATTCTCCTATTCTCTCACACATTTAAAGTTAAGCCGGTTGCTTATCTTTGTGGCAGCGTTTGAAGTTTTTCCTCTTTTATTTCTGTAGTTTTTGTTGTTTTTTTTTGACTGCCTCGCATAATATTTTAGTGCATTTTATAAGCACAAATGCCTGTCGCATAAAAATTAATTGTAATGTTTGTTTATGTGCACGGCAAATGTTAAACAAGTTTTTTTTGTTAACCACACGGCGTATGAGCAATGTGGTGAATATAAACTGAAGAGTGTAATAATAATTTAAATACGCAACTGGACAGAAAAAAGTAAGAGCAAAACTGAAATCTATGATAAATCAAGATATGAAAACGGCGTTAGGGAAATTATGACATGCATACAAAACGACAAATATTAATAAGTGGTAAAAGAAAACTTGCAAGGTGTTAAGAATTAATATGTCTATTTCGCTCTAACCATTACACAAATTTGTTAATTACAATAATGGCATTGGGCCAAAAGTAG